TTTATTTTACAGTTAAAATATATGTTTATCAAAAAAAGTCTAATGTTACAACTAATCGTGGATCCCTTTAAGCAAAAAGTAGCTGTGGCTTGGCAGTGTTCCACCATGCATGCTGTGCCTCTGATACATTTTGGGCTCCTTCTGCCTATATGTCCATTTCACACTAACACTATAACTTGCAGATATTTATTCAGCTGCACAGTATTTTAGATTGTTGATRGACTTCCYTCACATAAAGTATGCYGGGGTTATAAAGCTCAGTGGAGAAGGACGCACAGAGATACAGACTGCTCCGAAGTTTGACGGTGGAAAAGTTTGACAATTTACCTTGAAAATGCTTGAAAAGTGCTGGAATTATACTGTGGGGGAAAAGTGCACAAACCCTGTAATCATTTAATCAGCAGTGTTTTTCTCCACACCGTTGCTGTTGTGGATCAATTCTTTTTGGTTTTCTTTAAATGACAAGATATTTACATGAACTTATCCATCACAGCAGCGCTGATGATGACGACGATGGTAGAGGGTGTTAGTATGTTCTGTTTTAATTTATTACAACTCCATGCCAAATGTTTTCGTTGGAAGCATCAGTAGTTGTGTTTGCTTGTGATGGTYGATCAGAGCTCGACCCGTCTGGGTTGCGCAACAGGCTGATTGGAAGGCATGTGAAGTTCACCTCGTGGAGCTCTAAATAAGGAGTTCAGGCGCAGGATGGATTTGAACGTCTACATCACTCAGCTGGAATGCATTCAAAAATAGCTTCCACATTAAAACAAAAGCAGATATAATAACACCAAGTGTGTGTGTGCAGTTTGGGTCTGTGTTTCTGTCAAATCTGATGTGATTCAAGCTTCAACATAAGAGTTTGATCTTCAGTCTCTTCCTTTGCATTATTGTTGAATAAAGAAACGTGAGAGCTGTACAGTTTTATTGTTTAATCTCAGTTACCAGCGACTATAAATACAAAGAGACGATTATATATTTGTGCTGAAATGTGAGATTTAAGAGTTTTTTTTTTTTAAGTTTGACTGACAGGTGTACAGCTGAAAAGGTCAAGTTTAATTAGACTCTCAAGCATATTTTTGGTTGTTTTAGGAACCTAGGAAAGTTGTTGAGATTTTAATTTATTTTTTAAAACCTGTCCAGCCCAGCAGCTCATCTCTGTKAGCAGCAGCTGGTCTTGTGGATCTGTCGCTCAGCCACATCAGAGTGTCCAGCAGCCGTGGGCTCGCATACAGAATCACACAGTAATGACGGCCAAGTCGCCKTTCAAAAACACCACTGGAAAATAATAAAATAAAGCTGAAGTCATCAGATTCACACTCTTTGTTGCTCTCACCACAGAAACCGGACAAAGCAGGTTCTTTAATTTGGGTTTAGAGCTGTAGGTTTTTGATTTCCACARTTTTATCCTCAAAGTTTAGTTTCTCTAACCTTATGTATTGGCAATTTTTTAAAAATGCGTGCCCCGTATCGTCACAGTGGCATCATTTTTGTTTTATTTTCCATCTTTGGGCTTAAAAGGTTCCTTTAACATATTTTATTTGTATTATATACTGTGTATGAACAGCTGAAACACAAGTCAAATAGTGGAGCCACGTTCCTGACTCCTGACTTTTCCTCTTTCTCCTGGTGATCCACAACAGCTTCGTAAAAGCTCATCTTTCTGCGCTCAAAGGTTTTCTCTCATCTTGGTAAACAGACCGTAACTCAGTGGCGACTGTGGACAGAGTTGAGGGAGAGTTTTATTTTAAGCTTTCTCTCTGTGGGGGAACAAGCAAAGCATTTTTACTGCCGTCTTGATGTGTTCAAGGTTGAAGGAGGAGTCTTCTTTCAGGAAATGGTGCCAGTGAGCCGGTCGTATCCTGCCAGGGCGACCCAGATTGGCAAAGCGCAATTAGCAGCAGCTCCTCGGGGCTTCAGAATGAACATTGTCGGACAGCAGATGAACAGTTTTTAGAGACAGAATGTTCCAGAGACAGCTAACAGTCTTCCACCATATTTTAATTTAATTTAATTTTATTTCTTTTTATTTTTTGTAAAACAATTATTTTTTGGTTTTGTTTTGGGTGCTGCAATTTTCAACAAATTAAACACACAAAGAAAAGACTCACACAAAAGAACACAACAGTTGTAACTTTGCTGATGTTCCTCTTCGTGTCTCACTTTGATCCCCTCTGCAGCTGATGACCACTTCGATAGTTTTTTTGGTGGAGGTCGCAGTCATCAAAGAAGCGCAAACCAGACCAGGATGGGGGGCTCGTTTTTTGGTTTTGGTGGCTTTTCAGGAATGGGGCCTGGCTTCTCAGGGTTTGACTCAGGTGTCTGTATTTCTGACTGCACAGTTCAGAGCAGAGGAGTTAAAAACATGCATCACATATTAACTGTCAGGTCTGTGCTTATTTTTATTTTTTTAGGTTTTACCTCGTTTGGAGACATGGGCAGTGGAGGATTCACCTCCTTCACGTCGTCTTCGTTTGGTGGTCTTGGGGGAGAGGGGAGGGGTTTCACCAAATCTGTGTCGACCTCCACTAAAATTGTCAACGGCAGAAAGATTACCACAAAACGGTATGTGAATGTTGAASTGGAAACACCATTTATGCTCTAAATCAGGGGCGTCAAACTCATTTTCACTGAGGGCCACAGGAGCGTTATAGTGGCCCTCAGAGGGCCAGTTGTAATTAACGTCAACATTTCATGTTTAGCTTCAACTAAACAAGAAAGACGTTCCTTGTCTCATTGCTACGGCTGAGCACCTCAAACAATTACAGAGCTCTACCTGGTATTCCCTGCATAGAAACAGTGTTTTAACACGTCCTCTTATAAACACTGAAAAGTATTACGTGCTCAACTGACTAAATGTTAAATAAATAATACAGAAATACTATTAAATGTAAAAGTAAAAGAGTAATTAACTGTTGGAATGTAGTTAGTCTTGAATTCTGAACTCTCCCACATTGATGTCCGGGAATTCCCATGCCTTATGGGAGATGTAGTTTATGGTCAAAGCTGGCTTTAGATTTGCTCAGGGAGCCACAGTTGCTTCAAAGCCAAATTCTCAGGAGCAAGACAAGTATTCTTATCCTTCATCTTTTAAATGTGATGATTTTGTTGCATTGAATCATAAAATAACTATTTTCATACTATTGTTATTATTATTTTTATTTATTTATTTATTTTGGTGGGCCGGATGGAAGTCACTGGTCCTCGTGTTGTGATTTTGACACACACTCTAAATCGTCCTTCCTGGTTCCTGATGAGATGTCTGTGTTTTTCTGTGTGAACAGGACTGTGGAGAACGGCCAGGAGCGGGTAGAAGTGGTGGAAGATGGTCAGTTAAAATCTCTAACAGTTAATGGTAAGGAGCAGCTACTAAGACTGGATAACAAGTAAATTATTCTCCCCACAACATTCGACCAACAACAAAATCAAAAAAAAAAAGTTTTCTCCTCTGGAAAAGCTCTGGCAGTCGGTCTCTCCTCTCTCTGTCATTATGCATCTCATTCCCAAAGAAGTTTTTTTTCTCATTTTAGATTAGCAGCCAGGGAGAAGACAGACATTTTCTTTGTATATGTA